GAGACAAACAGAGGCCAAATGAACAGGCAAAGGTAATTCAGAAATCCAGTGGTAGGCACGGGAACAGAGCCCAGGGCTCCCAACTCTTCGTTTCTTACTGGAAGACACTCAACTGTGATTATACACGGGGTGGGCAGAAATGCCAGTGTGGTAGCCCCAGAGGAGCTGAAAATGCTGGAGTGACCAGAACACTGGAATTCCAACTGCAGCCCACACTGGGTGGTTTTCCTTGGGAAGCCTCTTTAAAGAAGGGAATTTAGCTTGCCTGCTCTTTTAGATGTGGCAGCAGAAGTGGCAAATTTAAGATTAAAAAGGGGACCATGTGGGCTGGAGATGGGGGACTTTTCCTCTACATCACAGAAACTCTTGACCCTGGCATGGGAATTTGGGACTCTTGGGTTCTGTTTCTGGTCTGCTATAGTCTCCAACTCTCTGGATACGATGCTGGTCTAGAGGGGGCCCTCCTGTCAAAGGCTCAACTGCAGACCCAGAAACCGAACCCACCTGGGTACCTGTAGATCCCTGTCCCAGAGCACAGCTGTAGTAACACCCTGGGGAATGAGGAGATACCTAGGCCCAGCTGCATTTCTCACACCTAAATGCCTAGAAGCCAAGCCACCTAGGCCTGCAGAGTCAGGTCAGAGTCCAGGTGTTGTGTGCCTGCTCTGGGAATCCAAGAGCCTAAGTCAATGCCAACTTTAACCAGAGGGTCTCTGACCCAAAGGGCAGAGCGTAGGCAGACAGAGCCCAGGGGCGTTAGCTCCGAAAATTACTGTGTCAAAACCGCAGCATTGGCCTGAAGATCTTGCCCTGTCAGATCAGGAGACAGGAGACAGGAGACACTGGGTCGAGGAAGGGCAGAGGTCATTTGCAGAGCATGTTTGGGAAAGGAAGCCAGTGTTCAATCAGGGTGCCCACCCCTTGAGCCTTCCATCTGCCTTCATGCCTCAGGTCCAATGAAGTGACATCCCCTGCCTTCTGGGATGCTGAGAACTGTCCGGGAGGCCCATCTTCTGCAAGGCAGGGCAACAACATGACAGGTGGAGGTACCTAGGCTGGCTGGACACATTCCTCTGCTGACCTATCTCATCAGCATCTGTGGTCACTATCTGGCCAACTCACAGTTGTTGGAAACCTCAGCTTTGGGACTGGGGCCAGGTCCCTGGACAACCCCAGTCCCTGTCCCACACTTCCTCGACCCACAAGCCCTGTCTAGCCTAGCTCTGACAGGCAGGCCGCAGCCATTACTGCAGCCTCAGCTCACACCCATGGAGCTCATCTTCCCCTTTTTTTGAGAGAGATTTTAACTCCTTCCCCACCACTCCCCTGGCACTGAAAGACTTACAATCACCCACTTCAGTTTTGACTACCCGAAGCCCTTAGAGCCACTCTCCTAAGGCCCCAGCGGGCAGTGCCCCTGCACCTCATCCTCTCTTGTCGGGAGCACCTCCTCCTGCAACTTCTGAGCCAGACGGAGTCTCCAAACTCCGGTTACCATGCCATCCTCCCTGGACCCCCGGCTAGACACTGCGGGTCGGGGAGAGGTTGGGGAGGAGTCTGGGCTTGAGCCAAGGGCCTCAGCTGAGTCCTCTACCCCCGGGGGATACCTCCCCTCCCCCTCAATAGGGCCGGGGCTTCCTCTTCCGGCAAGGAGGGGTTAAGCCCTCTGGGTGGGGCTGGGCTTGCTCAGACCCCCGCCCCAAGCCTCTCGGCCGTCCCGTCCCGTGACCCTCTACCCGCGGGACAGGAAGGCCCGGGCACTTTCGCTCCGTCATGCCCCCTTGCGCAGGGGCCAGAGGGAGCCCGTCTCAGCCGGCAGCTGGTCCCTCCTGCCTCGAGAGCCCCACGGTGCCGCCTGCCCCGTGGCACCGGCCCTGTCTGTTAGTCCCCTTTCCCCTGCCCCCAGCCATGCAGTACCGGCCAGGGTGAGAGAGCAGGTCGCGCGCCGCTCCGGTCCCCCACGGCACGGGCCGTACTAGGCCCCAAGCACTCGGGGCCAGCTCCTCCCCCGCCCGGCGCCCGGCCGTGCCCGGCCATGCCAGGCGGCGACCCCGGCTCAGCAGGGCGCGGCGCGGGCGGGGACAGGCCCGACCCGCGGCCCGCTCCCGGGGACCCCGCACCCGACGCCCTCGTACCGCGATCACGTTGACGAAGGTGGTCTTGCCCGAGTACTGAAGCCCGACCAGCGTGAGCTCCATCTCCTCCTTCCAGAATAGGGCCTTGAACCAGTCCAGCAGCTTGTTGAACAAAGCGATCATGGTCGCTGCCGCCGGCCCCGCCCGGTGTCGGGTCCCCGCCGCCCCTCGCTGCCCTCGCGCTGCGGCCCGGAGCGGCCCCTCCCCGGTACGGCCCGGGTCCCGCGGCTCGGTGCGGGCGGAGGCTCGAGCGCGGCGGCCGACGACTCGCTGCCCCGGAATCGGCTCGCCGATGGGTGTGGCTTCAGCGCCCTCCTCCTCCGCCGCCGCCGCCGCCCTGCGCGGCCGGGCCGTGTCCTGCTCGCACCCGAGCGCGCGCTCCTCCCTCGCCGGAGCCAGGGACCAGGGGCCGCATCCGCAGGTGGGGTGAGCAGGGAACCCGCAGGCTTCAGGGGCGGGGGTTGACTGGCAGTTGGCGTCGAGAGGCGCTTAGGAAATGGGGTCTAATTTATTTTAGACCCTGTCCCCCACCGCCGCGCCCTGACTGGCACCCCCTTTCTTAAAGGTTGGTGGGCTCGAGGTGGGTGAGGTCCCGGTTAAGCAGGAGCCTTTCCAGGTTGAAGGAGAGTGTGTCACTCACTTTCCAGGACACGAAGATGAGATCTCTACGACAGGGAGGCAAATGGAGGCTTTTTTGTTCCTGAACCCTTGCCTCTGAGCATCCCTGGGTAGAGTCCCATCCTCTCAAAATGCTCCCAGCGCAGAGGGACAACCGTGTTCGGGCCTTTTCATACTCCATCTTGTTTTGTTCACCACAATTTACCCCGACCACTTGTTAGGAAGCCTCTGGCCCCAAGTGAAACGGACGCTTGAAGTTGCTCCCGATTTTTACCAGCATCCCCAAGATACCGAAACAGATACAGTCCTGGCAGGGGGCTTCCAGTGAGGAACATCTGTGACAAAGGAAAATGTTGCCCTGTTTTGGTGAAAAGCAGAGTATGCTTCAGGAGGAGAAGTGATAGTTCTCCTGAAGTGGGTGTGGAGTGCCTGCGAAGATGCCTCACTCCTGCCCCCTTCCTTGCAGGACCCACCCGTAGGGCCTGCTCAGGCAGGCTGACAACCCCAGCTGACCGTCTGGGTAGGCCCAGGCTTCGGGCAGTCCCCAGCCTCTGCTGGCTGCCCGTTGGGATTTGGTTTTCAAATGTAGTCGTATGTAGTCTATTGTTTTAGTCAAAAGTGGATAAACTATCAATATCAACCATATCTGTCCAATCGACCGGAGTTAGATGACCCCAAATAGTCAAAAAGTTACCAAAGTAGAAGAATCACAAGGTTTGGGCTAGAATAATATTCTGGTTTTGTTTTGTTTTGTTTTTCTTTTTTTGACAAGAGTCTCACTGTGTCACCCAGGCTGGAGTGCAGTGGTGAGATCTCAACTCACCGCAGCCTCCACCTCCTCAGGCTCAGGTGATTCTTCCACCTCAGCCTCCTGAGTAGCTGGGACTACAGGCATGCGCCACCATGCCTGCCTAATTTTTGTATATTTTGTAGAGACGGGGTTTTGCCATGTTGTCCAGGCTGTTCTCAAAGCCCTGAGCTCAAGCAATCTGCCTGCCTCAGCCTCCCAAAGTGCTGGGATTACAGGCATGAGCCACTGTGCCTGGCCAATATTCTGGTTTATTAAGCACCATCTTTCTAACCTCTGCCCTTTATAAGTCCCCCTCTAGCTCCTAAGATAAAGGCTATGGACTGAATGTTGATGTCCCCCAAAATTCATAGGTGGAAGTCCTAACCCCTAAGGTGATGGTGTTAGGAGGTGATTTAAGTCATGAGGGTGGGGCCTTATAAAGGGGCGGGTGGGGTTGGGGGGAAGAACACCAGCCCACAACCTTTTCACCATGCAAGGACAGAAAGAAGGCTCTGCCTAAGGCTGGGCCCAGTGGCTCACGCCTGTAATCCCAGCACTTTGGGAGGCCGAGGCGGGCGGATCACGAGGTCAGGAGATCAAGACCATCCTGGCTAACATGGTGAAACCACGTCTCTACTAAAAATATAAAAAATTAGCCGGGCGTGGTGGCGGGTGCCAGTAGTCCCAGCTACTCGGGAGGCTGAGGCAGGAGAATGGCATGAGCCCGGGAGGTGGAGCTTGCAGTGAGCCGAGATCGCGCCACTGCACTCCAGCCTGGGCGACAGTGAGACTCCGTCTCAAAAAAAAAAAAAAAAAAAAGAAAGAAGGCTCTGCCTAATAGCCAGACACTGAGTCTGCAACGGTCTTGATCCCAGACTTCCCAGCCTCCAGAACTGTGAGCAATACATTTCTTTTTTCCTTTTTGAGACGGAGTCTTGTTCTGTTATCCAGGCTGGAGTGCAGTGGCACGATCTCAGCTCACTGCACCCTCCGCCTCCAGGGTTCAAGCAATTCTCCTGCCTCAGCCTCCTGAGTAGCTGACTCCAGGTGTGTGCCATCACACCCAGCTAATTTTTTGTGTCTTTAGTAGAGACAGGGTTTCGATGTATTAGCCAGGATGGCCTCGATCTCCTGACCTCGTGATCCACCTGCCTCGGCCTCCCGAAGGGCTGGGATTACAGGCATGAGCACCGCGCAAGGCCAGCAATACATTTCTGTTGTTTAGAAGCCACACGGTTTACGGTAGTGAGTTGTTACAGCTGCCTGAGTAGACTATGAGAGTCCACCCTGTCTCACTTCCTAAATTGACTTTGGTTTCACCTTATTTTATGTCCTTGGAAGTGCTGGAAAAGTGCATATCCCAAGGGCAAATATTTGCAGCCTGCCTGTCCCTGGTCTGCAGTCTTTCTTCTTACAAAGAAGCCCCAGAAGGCCAAGAAGAAGATGGAAAGAAGGAATGAGTCAGTCATCCAAGAAGTCTTTATTTTCCCACTTGGTTACTGTTTTGGAGCTTGTACCCTCTGAGCTCTGAGATGGGATTGGGGGGGCAGTGCCAGGGAAGGCCTGTGGGGCTGTGCAGTTGCTTCCCTCTGGGCTGGCTCTGAGCCCAGGGCAGGATCAGGCACTTGAGAGCCCCCCACCGAGCCTCATTGGCATAGACAGTTGTGCCTCTCACAGGGCTCAGGGGAGGTGGAGGTGTGGGCAAGTCCATCCCCAGGGCTGTAAGGAAGGAGCAGCTCCTCCACAAGGCCAAGCAGAAGCATTAGGGAAATCATCCTCAGTTTTAGCACTGCGTGTTCTTTAGGAGAGAAGTCCTGAGTGAGGAGGCCCAGCTGTTCTCCAGATCCAGCTCCTTGGGGGTTTCCACAGAGAACTGGTATCAAGGCAGCTTTCAGGGGCGGCATGCCCGGTGATGCGGCATCTTACCTTCATCCCCATCTCAGAATGGGCAGCCAGTCTCAGATTCAAGAAGGATGAATCCTGAGGTGTGGCGTTCAGTCCTTAGTTAGACCTGAGGTTCCCTGGAAATTGTGTTGATGCTGAGATGGATGAGGGGCGCTTGTTCTCTGGGGTAGACAGTGAGGAGTCTCAGTTCAGCCGAGCCCCCACGTCTGCATGGATGGTTACGACTCTGATTGTTTCTGGAAACAGCCAAGCTCTCTAGGTGTACTGAGCAAATGCAGAGTATAGAGGGTCATGGTGGGGTTGGTTATCTAAAATCAGACTGAGCACTTTGCCTCCTCTTCTCCCCTTGCCTCTTTCTTTTGTCTTCCTGCATACCCAGGGTATTATTTAAGCCATGGAAGCAAAACAGAGACTGCTCAGCCTCCCTAAGAATAGTTGGTGGGAATGGACAGCAACATGGAGGCAGGAGCAGCCCCTCTTTGCCTCTGAGTAGTCCCCACATGTTCCCTCTTCCTGAGATTTCAACTGCCAGGCTTGGTCACCTCTGTAGCCTACTCTTAGGACACATGAGTGGAGGCAAGGGTAACCAGAGTCCTTGTTCTTTCTTTGGATTGGAGTTGTCCAGCCCTTCCGATGTCTGGTCAGGGAGCAGAGTCACTGCTAAGATGTTGAGACTTGGAGATCAGGACCAGACTTTTCCCCATTCTTGCATCTGGCCTGTGCTTGGGCAGGGCCTCAAGTGAAGGATGGTCTTGGAATCACCCTTTTGTCAGCCCCAGGAAGGAGTGACTGGAGTGGCTTCTAGAAACTTCTCTCATTGCTTTTCCCTCATGGCAGCTAAGCACTTAATGTTCATGTTATAGAAGAGGAAACTGAAGCTCACAAAGAGTGTCTTAGAGAAGACCAGGACACCTGGGCTTCTTTCTTTGTCTGTCATAAATTGCCAGCTCCTGTCTTTAAGTTCAGAGAGACATTGGAGGTTCCCCTTATGTCCATCTGGGGCCAACAGAGGAAGCAGAGGAGTGGCCAGTGGTGAAGACCTGGAATCCAGCCCCTTGTCCTTACTGATGCTGCTTCCTGTGACTGCAAGCACCACTAAGGAGGCACTCTTTCCCCACACCCACCCAAAGGGTACCCCCAGATCACTCGGCCCACTTTCCCCAGACCCACCTTCCCAGGCTTGAGGGAGGTGGGCACCTGGGCTGTTGGAGGGTGGCAGGGGTCAGGGGCTGGGTTCCTCTGGAAGCTGGCCTGCATACAGGGCCAAAGTGTGGTGCAGGAACTGGTACTGCTCTGCCGTCTGGATCATCCCCCCTCTGTAAGGAGAAACACACAGACCATGAGTGAAGGAGGGTCAGGGTGCTGGCTGAATGGCTCCAGTCAAACATTCTTGTGGTCTTACTGGAAAAGTCCTGACTTTCTCAAAGAACATGCCAACTCCTTTGCCTATGTTAATCTTTTCTTTTTCTTTTTTTTGAGACGGAGTCTCGCTCTGTCACCCAGGCTGGAGTGCAGTGGCTTGATCTCAGCTCACTGCAAGCTCCGCCTCCCGGGTTCACGCCATTCTCCTGCCTCAGCCTCCCGAGTAGCTGGGACTACAGGCGCCTGCCACCACGCCCAGCTAATTTTTTTATATTTTTAGTAGAGACAGGGTTTCACTGTGTTAGCCGGGATGGTCTCGATCTCCTGACCTCGTGATCCGCCCGTCTCGGCCTCCCAAAGTGCTGGGATTACAGGCATGAGCCACCGCGCCCGGCCTTCTTTTTCTTTCTTTCTTTCTTTTTTTTTTTTTTTTGTGAGACAGTCTCACTCTGATACCCAGGCTGGAGAGTAGTGGTATGATCGTGGCTCACTGCAGCCTCTGCCTCCTGGGTTCAAGTGGTTCTCCTGCCTCAATCTCCTGAGTAGCTAGGACTGTAGGTGCCTGCCACCATGCCCAGCTAATTTTTGTATTTTTAGTAGAAACGGGGTTTCACCATGTTGCCCAGGGTGGTCTTGAACTCCTGACCTCAAGTGATTGGCCCATCTTGGCCTCCCAAAGTGCTAGGATTACAGATATGAGCCACCATGCCCCACCACCTATATTCATCTTTTCTACTTGCTACTCCTCCTTGCTGACCCTCAGATTTGCTGTGAGAGGAGTCCTCTGCCCTTTACATGTGCTGAGGGGTGATGCCGTGTGTTGATGCTTGGTCTTCCTTGATTCACTCAGCTCCTGGGACAAAACCAGACTTCTGAAGCCTTGAGTCGGGCCAGGAATACTCCTGAACCTCAAGTTTCCTTCTTTCTAATAATCTTAAAAGTAAAAATAATGATTCCATACATTTGTATAATAGTTTCCATTTCCAAAATACTTTCATATAAGTTAACTCATTTCTTACAACAGTTTTCTGGGAGAAGGAGCCATTATCTCTCTCTAGATAAAGAAGTGGGGGCTGGGCACAGTGACTTAAGCCTGTAATCCCAGTACTTTGCGAAGCCAAGGGGGCATTGTTGAGCCCAGGAGGTCAAGACTAGTCTGGGCAACATAGTGAGAGACCCCATCTCTATTATTAAAAAAAGAAGAAAGAAAGGAAAAAAAAGAAAGGGAGCTCAGAGAAATCTAGTGACATCTCAGTGAGACAGAAGTTGGAATCTGAACACTGGCTCTGCCTCAACCCAGTGAGCTTCTTTGCACTACTTGTGGCCTCATATCATGTTTAATTCCAGGCCTCCAAGCCAACTTTCCAGATAGATATTCTTTTTTTTTTTTTTGAGACAGAGTCTTGCTGTGTCGCCCAGGCTGGAGTGCAATGGCACAATCTCGGCTCACTGCAACTTCCACCTCCTGGGTTCAAGCAACTGTCCTGCCTCAGCCTCCTGAGTAGCTGGGATTACAAGGGCCCGCACCAGGTCCAGCTAATTTTTGTAGTTTTAGTAGAGACAGGGTTTCACCATGTTGGCGAGGCTGGTCTCGAACTCCTGACCTCAGGTGATCCACCCACCTCAGCCTCCCAATGTGCTGGGATTACAGGTGTGAGCCACCACACCCGGCCATCCAGATAGATTTTTTTTGCCGGTTGTTAGTTGCAAAATAAACAGCTCTAAGCAGAAAGGGTTTCTTCCTTTCTTGCAGGAGTGCTTGATGGTGATGGGCCTCTCAGGGCTCTGGGGCCCAGAGGCACTGATGCCCCCCATTGACATTGTTGGCCTTGTTTACACCCACAGACTCACCTGTCTAGCCGCAGTTGGCACACAATGCCCAGAATGTCCACTTCCCCTCGGGCCTTCAGCTGTTGACAGCCAATTCGCGTGGCGATGAAGCAGCCTGTCCGGCCAATCCCTGCACTGAAGATAGCCAGGGAGGGGACAGGGAGGTCATGGGAGACAAGGGAATCTAAGAGCCAGGCCCCAAACTGTGGAGAAAGAAATGGGACCTGCAGGTGCTATATTTTGGGGATAGGACTCTGGAGATGGGGGCAGGTAGAGTACTTCGGATTCCAGTCCCCTTGGGGACCCTGCTGGAGGCAGGTTATAACTGGCACAAGAGGAGTTTACATTTCTTACCAGCCTCACTGTAAGCCTGTTGCAGGCCACCTTCTGGTCCCTGTGGACGTTTTGATGATCTCCCCTCTGCTGAGCATCTACAGCAGTTTCCAACAGATGGTTCCCCACTTGTGGGCGTGCTGACCCTTGAGCCCTCCTTATCTAACCTTGACTTCCTCTCAGCTCAGACTCATCTTCCACGCAGCCCATGCCCGGCCCCTCTGTTTCCCACCTCGGCGCCCTCCCACAGTCTTCTCTCCGCTCTGCTCTGCTTGCTCCATTGTGCCCTCTGTTTATTTCAAAACTCCCCAGGCCTCCTGTTCCTCTTGTGTGAGCCTCTAATGACCTCCCTGCACATGTCCCATTGCTACCTGTGGGTGGCCTGGGAAGGCCCTGTGTCATGCTTTTTGCCTCTGTGCTCTGTTTTATTTAGGATATGCACTCCCAAATGGTCTCTTTTAGTCTTATCCCCTACGATACCCTCTCACTCCAGCCCAATCCATTTTTCACTCTATAGCCAAAATGTTATTTTACAACCAAGTGTCTTAGCCAGTCCTACAAGGCCCCTCATCATCTGACCTTCACTGGCCTTCCAAACCCATCTCTCATCATTACCCCACACATAACCTCTGGGCCCAACCTGTAACCCTGCTCCCAGCAGTGTATCCATTTTCACATTTCTTCTCTGGGCCTTAGTTAGCATATGCTGTTCCACCTGCCTGGAATGTGTTCCCTTCCCTCTCTTCGCTTGGCTAATTCACCTTTCAGGTCTTAGCTTGGCTTAGATGGCCTTTCTCTTGGAAAACCTTCTTTGGTCAAAGTCTGGCTTAGGAGACTTGGTTCTATGCTCCCCATCATATCCCCATCACAGCTCTCATCACATTGTGTGATATTTAATAGTTTTTTTTTGTTTTGTTTTGTTTTTTAGACAGAGTTTTGCTCTTGTTGCCCAGGCTGGAATGCAATGGCGTGATCTCAGCTCACCGCAACCTCCACCTCCCAGGTTCAAGTGATTCTCCTGCCTCAGCCTCCCAAGTAACTGGAATTACAGGCATGCACCACCATGGCCAGCTAATTTTGTACTTTTAGTAGAGACAGGGTTTCTCCATGTTGGTCAGGCTGGTATCGAACTCCCGACCTCAGGTGATCCACCTGCCTTGGCCTCCCAAAGTGCTGGGATTACAGGCCCGGCCGGTATTTAATTGTTTAATCTGCCTTCTTTGTTTGTTTTTGTTAGTTTGTTTGTTTGAGATGGAGTCTTGCTCTGTTGCCCAGGCTGGAGTGCAGTGGTGCAGTCTCAGCTCACTGCAACTTCCACTTCCCAGGTTCAAGCAATTCTTCTGCCTCAGCCTCCCACGTAGCTGGGATTACAGCACGCGCTACTTTTTGTATTTTTAGTAGAGATGGGGTTTCACCATGTTGGCCAGGCTGGTTTCGAACTCCTGACCTCAGGTGATCCTCCCGCCTCAGCCTCCCAAAGTGCTGGGATTAGAGGCATGAGCCACTGTGCCTGGCCTAATCTGCCTTCTTTCTCACCAGACTATAAACCCGTCTGGGAAGAAACCAAACTGCTTTGTTCACAGCTGTCTCCTTAGCATCTAACACTGTGCCTGACAATAATAAGTTTTCTTTTTTTGAGATGGAGTCTTGCTCTGTCACCCTGGCTGGAGTGCAGTGGTGTGATCTCAGCTCACTGCAACATCTGCCTCCAGTGTTCGTGCAATTCTTCTGCCTCAGTCTCCCAAGAAGCTGGGATTATAAGCATGTGCTACCACGCCCGGCTAGTTTTTGTATTTTTTAGTAGAGACAGGTTTTCACCATGTTGGCCAGGCTGGTCTCAAACTCCTGACCTCAAGTGATCTGCCCATCTCGGCCTCCCAAAGTGCTGGGATTACAGGTGTGAACCACTGTGCCTGGCCAATAATAGGGTTTTCAATACATATTTGTTGAATGAGTAAATGAGTTCCCCAACAGTTGGAATCCTGTTTATGTCCTCCTGCAGCTGACTGGGACCTTCCTGATATTTTGTCCCCTCTGTGGATGGGGCCTGGGTGTCCAGCCCAGATGTCTGGGTTCTGCATGAAGGAGGTGAAAAGAACAGAGCCCTTGCTGAATGGCCTTGCGAGTCATGTCCAAGTGAGGACTAGGCTTGCCTGATGCTCTTCTGCTCAGACCCTTCCCCAGGAGAGACCCAGGGGGCAGGGGAGGGGAGCGCAGTCCACAGGCTGCAGTGAAGGGAGGGCCACGCACCTGCAGTGGACTACGATGGGCCTGGGGCGGGCAGCTGTCTCCGGGCTCTCCTCCACCTCTGCCACTAGGCGCAGCAGGGGCCCAGCTGATTCTGGTGTCTGGTGGTCGGGCCAGGCTGAGAAGAGGATGTGCTTTACTGACCGGCACTCTTCCCGGTACTGGGTTGGAGACAAGGCATGAGAACCAAGGTCAGGGTGGAGGGCACTGTCTGCCTTCTTCTCTGGTGCCTGAGGAGGGCAAGGGCTGGAATTACCCTGTGAGGGGTCATCTACTCAAAGCAAGCTAGGTTGCAATTTTCATGCTCATCATTCTCCACCGCTTCCCCCTCCAAAATGCTGGGAAGGAGCATTGTCCTGGGAGAGGGGAGACACCGAAATTCAAGTCCCGGCTCTGCTTCCCATAAGCACATGACTTTGGGCAAGTCCCTTGATCTCATTTTCTTCACCTGGAAAATGGGGACAGTGATATCTTACTGGTTTACTTGCTAGGATATTTGGAGGAGAATGAGTTGATAGAGGAATGCTTTCAAAAATATAAAACACTGTAAAATAATAGAAGGCATTTAAAAAGCCCTTATGTACATGTTATTCCACATCTCTCTCTTTCTTCATTTTTTTTTTTTGTTTGTTTTTTTGAGACACACAGTCTCACTCCATCACCCAGGCTGGAGTGCAGTGGCACAATCTCCGCTCACTACAACCTCTGCCTCCTGGGTTCAAGTGATTCTCCTGTCTTAGCCTCCCAAGTAGCTGTAATTTTTAGTAGAGACGAGGTTTCACCATGTTGGCCAGACTGGTCTGGAACTCCTGACCTCAAGAGGACTCCACCCGCGTCAGCCTCCCAAAGTGCTGGGATTACAGGCATGAGCCGCCACACCTGGCCTTCCACATCTCCTTTAACCTCCTCTCCTTCCCTTGGCCCAGCTCCTGGATCCTGCCTGTCCTTGGCTGACCATTCACACAGACAGGTGGGTACTTCCTGGTAGTCCTATTCGGCTTTTTGGCTCTGCCCTATTAGACTAGAGGCTGAGGACAGTGCTCAAGTTTCTCTTTCTTCTATAGATGTGGATTTAAGATGGTTTAGATGAGCAAACCCTTGGCTCCTAGTGAAGAGCCGGCCTGAGTTCCAGAGATGCTGTAGGCAGCCCGACCTCCCACTGGGCCTGGCCCCTGGGGTGGTACCTGGATGGTGAGCTGCCGCACAGTGTATTCTGGGCACTCTTTCATGTCCTGGATGCGAATCTGGAAGGGTCCATAGGTTTCCTCTTCTGTGGGCCAGTAGTGGACACATTTCTAGGAGGGAGGAAGCTGGGAGTCAGAAGAGGGTCAGCTGGAGCAGATGACAGGGCAGCAAAGAGGGGCTGGTATCTCCTCCCCATCTTCCACCCCTACTGGATGGAAGGTCAGCAACAGGGAGCCTGGCTCTTCTGAGCTTGACACCTGCAAGCAGAGTGCTCACCCTATCCTATATTTCGGCCATGGACAGCCTCCCAGGGGTATATCTCAGGGAATTTTCTGAGAGGTATGAGCTGGGGCTGGCTCCCAGGGAAACCTCTGGTCCTGAGCTGCCCTGTGTGGGGAGTAGGGTGTGGGGCAGGCATAGAACTTTCTGGGTTCATCATGAACGTGGCTCTGCCTCCTACCTCCTTGCCCTCTCGGAGCTGAGTGAGCATGACAATGAGGGACACTTCCTCTTGCCACACCATCTCCCAGAAGTCCGACACAGTGTTGGGCATGGGGCCCTGGGTGGCAATGTAGACCTTCTCCTTCCCGTCATAGCCCTGGAAGGTGGAAGCACAGGGGAAGGGGTGGGGAGCAGTGAGAGCAGAACTCTGGGGTGATCCTGGATGCCTCAGGTGCTGGGGTCAGCCTGAAGCTGTGAACCACAGGTATAGACACACACGTGCATGAACACGCACACTCAGAAGCCACACAGTGGAAAGGATATGGGTTCTGGAGTGAGGATCAGATCCCTGTTCTGCTGTTTCCTGGCTGTGCCACTATAAGCCAGTTACCTAGCCTCCGTAAGCCTCAGTTGTATCATCTGTAAATTGGGCATAACTTTGGGAGGCCGAGGCGGGCAGATCACAAGGTCAGGAGATCGAGACCATGGTGAAACCCTGTCTCTACTAAAAAATAGAAAAAAAAATTAGCCGGGCGCAGTGGCGGGTGCCTGTAGTCCCAGCTACTCGGGAGGCTGAGGTAGGAGAATGGCGTGAACCCGGGAGGCGGAGCTTGCAGTGAGCCGAGATTGCGCCACAGCCACCTGCACTCCAGCCTGGGCGACAGAGCGAGACTCCGTCTCAAAAAAAAAAAAAAAAAAAAAAAATCTATCTTGTAGGAATGTAGAGTGGATTAAATTCAGTAAGATATATTGATCAATATAGCAAGTGCTCTATAAATGTTTATTCTCTTCTCCTGTGCTTTTTCTTCTAGCACAAAATGCCTAAACAGTGTTAATATTTGTTCAGTGACAGTTTCACACTTACATGTTTTTTTTTTTTTTTTTTTTTGAGGCGAGATCTTGCTCATCGCCCGGGTTTTTTTTTTTTTTTTTTTTTTGAGACGGAGTCTTGCTCTGTCGCCCGGGCTGGAGTGCAGTGGCCGGATCTCAGCTCACTGCAAGCTCCGCCTCCCGGGTTTACGCCATTCTCCTGCCTCAGCCTCCCGAGTAGCGAGGACTACAGGCGCCCGCCACCTCGCCCGGCTAGTTTTTTGTGTTTTTAGTAGAGACGGGGTTTCACCGTGTTAGCCAGGATGGTCTCGATCTCCTGACCTCGTGATCCACCCGTCTCGGCCTCCCAAAGTGCTGGGATTACAGGCTTGAGCCACCGCGCCCGGCCTCACACTTACATGTTACTTTTCTATAAAAGTAGCAGCAAAATGTAGCACAGTCTCCCTAACCTGATTTTCTCACCTTCAGGACCCTCAGCTTCCTGCTCCTCAAGATGATGGTGGAATCAGGACTGCAGTTGATCTGGTATTGGCCGGCAAATGGAAGATCGTGTTTCCCCATAGCTTCCCTAGCTAAGAGCTTTTCGCCTCCCTGCGCCCCTGACTGATGTCTTACCCACACTGAGTCACTAGAGAGCGCTGCTTTTACATCGCCTTAGGGTCCACAGCGGCGAGAAGCTGTCGAGGAGCATCCACCTGGCCTGGAGCTTCCTATAGCTTGACATCAATCAACCGTCTTCACATAAGAGGGGCTACTTGAGGGTCAGTTAAGGTAAGTTGTGGGGGAGGTCCCATTACTGCTGGCATCACCCATGCAGTTCTCGGGAGCTGCGACCTCTCAAGGAGCCGGAGATTGGGTTCAACAATGCTAACTTCCTGCTAAGTTTAGAGGGTGGCATGGGAGGGCTGATAGTGGAGGTTAGGGAGACTCGGTGGTCTCTCCAGATATTTTTCAACATCTGCTCCGTTTTTTAGGTTGGTGCCTTAGGGTGCGTTCAGTGCCAGCCCAGCTTGGTAGGGCTATGACAGCAGTGAGCTGGAGCAGGGAGGGCAGGAAATGCAGGCACCTGATCCACCAGTCACAGCTGGAAGATATTCTCAGATGTCTGAGAATTCCCCCATTCCCCACCCACCACTGCAGCCAGGCCACTCACTCGGATGTAGTTGGCATTGATGTAATCTCCGTCCTCCTGGCTCTGTGCCCGGCCTAGACAGACACGGCTCTGGGGATCTAGGAAATAAAAATCAGCAGAGGGCAGAGGTCAGAAGGTGACCAACTGACACAGACTCCAGCAGGATCAGAAAGAAGAGAGTTCCTGTGCTCATCACAGTCCCAGCACCTTGTGTATAGCAGGTGGCCTTATCCCCACTGAAGTTGTTGTTGTTGTTATTGTTTTTAGAGACAGGGTCTCACTCTGTTGCCTAGGCTGGAGTGCAGTGGTGTGATCACAGCTCACTGTAACCTCTAACTCCTGGGCTCAAGTGATACTTCTGTCTCAGCCTTCCACATAGCTGGGACTACAGGCACATGCCACACCACACCTGGCTTATTTATTTATTTATTTATGTTTTTGGTAGAGACAGGGTTTCACTTTGTTGCCCAAGCTGGTCTTGAATTTCTAGCTTCAAGCAATTCTCCCACCTCAACCTCCCAAAGTGCTGAGATTACAGGTGTGAGCCGCCATGTCTGGCCCCTATGAAGAATTTTATACGCAGATGGTAGGGAGCTATATAATGTTTTTGAGCAGGACAGTGACATGATCAAAGCAATAGTTTGGGAAGGTTAACTGAGTGGTGCTGTATAGGATGGACTAGAGAAGAAAGGGAACGGAACAGCAGAGACCAAATGGGAAGATATAATATCAGATATAATATTCTAATATATATAGAATTCTATCCTTGAGATCAGTACGGGTTTAGAATAAGATTATGCCAGTAGGAATGGAAAAAGAGATGTAGAGGAAGAAGAATTTGTTTTCTAATGGTGAATATGGGATTCAGATGAGCAACTTGCTGGATATCACACAGCCGTGAAGTGGAACTAGGACTCAGATTCCACTCAGCCATGAGGCATTTGGCCTCTGCCTCTAAGGGGGAAGGATTTCTCTAAATGAAACCCAAACATGGATGAAGAAACTGGCTTGTGAGGAAAGGAGAAGAGACTCTTGCTCTGCTCATGCCAGCCTGGTCATGGACAGAGGGTACCCTGGGGACCAGGGCAATCTCAGGCAAAGGAATTGTTCCCTTTTCTGGTGGCTGCAGGGCTGATTAGAATTAGGCCAAGAACAAGGGTACTCCTCCCCCTGGCCTGGAATAGCGCTAATAGCCCCTTGATCCGCCCATGCAGGCAGAGGGCACTCCAGGAGGGTTAGCAGGAGACAGGGCCCATGTGCTCACTGAGCTAAAGCCTCAAGCTGGGAGTAGTTTCCCTATAGGGAGAGCAGGGGAGGGAGGGAGAGGCTCCGGGGCCTCATGCCTGCCTCTGAAAAATAGAAGGTGCTTGTCCTGGGTCTGTCAGCTTGCAGGGTCACCCCCTCCTAGCTGAGTGTCCTCCATCCCCCCCGCCACTGCTCTCTTGCTGGCCGTTGCCCTCCTGTCTCCATCTGACTTTCTCAAAGCCCTCTCTCTGGGAGCCCTCCTGGTGGTGCTTCCTCCACCACAAGCCTTGGCTGGGCACTTCCCAAGCGAGAGGAAGACAAGGAAAAGGGCTTCGTGCAAGTAGCTAAGCTGAATATCTTAGGTAACATATTCAACTTATCTGTGCCTTAATTTCCTTATTTGTAAAATGGTCATCATAATATCACAGTACAAATTTCATGGGATTGTTGTGAGAAATGAGTGAATATAAAAGATTGAGACTGGACGCAGTGGCTCACGCAGTGCTAATCCTAGCACTTTGGGAGGCCGACGCGGGCGGATCACCTGATGTTGGGAGTTCAAGACCAGCCTGACCAACATGGAGAAACCCCATCTCTACTAAAAATACAAAATTAGCCGGGTGTGGAGGCGCATGCCTGTAGTCCCAGCTACTTGGGAGGCTGAGGCAGGAGAATCGCTTGAACCTGGGAGGCGGAGGTTGCAGTGAGCTGAGATTTCGCCATTGCACTCCAGCCTGGGCGACAGGAGCGAAAACTCCGTCTTAAAAAAAAAAAAAGGTTTGAGAGCAGGGCCTGGCCCAAGGTACATATCTGCAAACATTATTATTGCTGCTGTTGTGATTCTTGCTGCTTCTTCCCCCTTTCTCTGCTGAGAGAAGATGTGCCAAGCAAGGTTGTCCTTCCCTGGCTGAAACTGTGTACTTTGTTCTGTGAAGTTCTCTAGCCCCAGGGACTGTACCCAACTCCCTCCATCCCAGCTGCAGTTCTTACTTGGCAAGATAGTCTTGTATCGGTCCTTGGAGGCGTGGCCAGGAATGTCCAGGTCTTCGGGGCTGACAAAGTTTGAAGGGATCTTCTGGCAGGGGGAGGAAATGGGTGAGCAGCTGACTCCTAGCCTCCTTTTCTCTCCCTTCTACCTTTTTCTAGAACAGCTGGACTCTGGCCATTCCTTCTTGACATTAGTATGTAGGCCTAGATGGGGTGGGGGCAGAAGGGGAAGTCTGGGGGCAGCCCCCTCCCTCAGCCCTGACATTCTCTTTCCTAAGGGGCCCAAAGAGGAGACATGCCCACGGTGCCTGTGAGAGAATGGTTCCAGCTGGCTGCCTCTGATACAGAGGGCAGAGTGATTCGGAGGGGACCCCAATTTCTTACCAAGAATTCTTCTTCCAGCTGCTTGGGGCTGGGTGGCTGGTGCTGAAGGGCCCAGCGGGTAAGAGGGTGTCCAGCAGTGCGCAGGAAATGTAGGGTGACCTCCCGGGGCGTGTTCACGGAGCAGATGGGTTCTACGGCCCCCAGCGACCGAACGTCCAGCATCAGAGCCACATTGGAGCCCCGCCTGCAAGTATAGCCCCCCACTGCCTAGTGAGCACCCAATCATATTTGCTTTCCTTTTCTTTTTATCTTTTCTTTTAGACATAGGGTCTCTCCCTGTTGCCCAGGCTGGAGATAGGGTCTCTCTCTGTTGCCCAGGCTGGAGTGTGATGGCACAATTGTGGCTCACAGCAGCTTCAAACTCCTGGGCTGAAGCAATCCTCCCACCTCAGCTTCCAGAGTAGCTGGGACCACAGGCATATGCTACCACACCTGGCTAATTTAAATTTTTTTTTTTTTTTTTTTTTTTTGAGAGACAGGGTCTTGCTCTGTTGCTCAGGCTGGTTTTGAACTCAAGTGATCCTCCTGCCTTGGCTTCCCAAAGTGCTGGGATTATAGGCATGAGCCACTGTGCCTGACCATATTTGCTTTTCTTACAAGTATTACTGTTATGAGGCACCTCTGAGGGGGCCGCTCTTTGTCTTTCCTTTAACCTGGAGGCCCAGTAAATTTACGGTTCGGGCCCCTGCTGTATGCCCTCCTTTTTTTTTTTTTGAGAGAGGAGGTATCACTATATTGCCTAGGCTGGTCTCTAATTCCTAGACTCAAGAGATCCTCTCACCTCAGTCTCCCAAAGTGCTGGGATTTGGGGCATGAGCTACCATGCCCGGCTCAGCCCTCTCCCTTTGTCAGCCAGAACAGGGCAGCCTTGAACTCAACTGCTTCTTCCAGCTGCCTGCCTCTTCCCACTCCCAGTCAGGCCCTATGGCTCTGACATGCATCCAGCACCAAGAACACTGCTGGCCTTGCCTGGAATTTAGGGAGCAGGCTCAGGGTTGATATGAAACTCTGTGCTCCAGACATGCAAAAGACATGCAAATGAGCACTACTGGTTTCCTCTCCAAATAGGAGTCAACAACTGAGGGCCCTCTGGACCCTGCTGTCAGAGCTGGAGGAGCAGATGGAGGGAAGGGAGGAGCGGAATGGGGACGCAGGGCGGGGAAGACCCCTCTCCCAGGGAAGATCTCACCTCTCCTGCAGCCGTACATGCTTCTTGGCTGGCGTTTTGGCAGGCGGAGGCTGGGTCATGGCTGCCCCCAAAGACAAGGTCAGCGGCTGTGCTCTGGAGCGCCCCCCACAGGCCTGGACCATGCTGGGGTGGGGTGCTAGGCCCAGGGGAGGCTCATTCAGCCATGAGGTCTGCCTGCAAGACAGGGTCCTCCGCTGCTGTTCTCTGGCCTGCCTGATTGGCCAGAAGGAGGCTCCCACGCTAGACCAGCTTTGCGCTGTTTTCACTGGGGCGTCTTCTGTTTCCCAAGAGGTAGCCTCATTTTCACTAAGGGAAGGACAGGATCTATTTGGCGGGACCCAGGGCACAAGGCAGTCTGGGGTCAGAGTAACGGCAAGATAAAGGGTAGAGATTGTGGATGAAGATAGGAAAGAATCCGAAGGAGGAAAAGAGAGAGGGGAGAGAGGCCACACACCAGAGTACACAGGGCTCTGAGCGGGTCCAAGTGAGAGAAGGCAAGGGAGGAAACAGAAAACATGTGTTCTCTAGGACAGAAGGGAGAAAGCGTGCAGAAGCCATCTCTGAGCTAACCAGTGGGCCTTCTCCTGAACAGAGAATGGAGGCCTCCAGCAGTATTGGAGCTGATTGGGCAGCCAGGCAGGCGGGCTCCTGGACCCCAGCAGGGTCCTCTCCTAACTGCTGCTGTTCCACTCCCAAGTCCATTTCTGGCTTCTGGGGTCTCTGTCCAGGGAGGTAGGCTGGAGGTGTTTCCTTCCTCCTCCTGCCCATCCCCCCGTCTCCCGCCTCTGTAACCGTCACAGGAAATGGCCTCACCAAGCCCTTGAGCGACAGCGCATGGTGAGGCGACAGCTGGGGGCAAGACAGGGGGCATGGAGGTGATGGGACCATCTCCTCTTGGGGGCAGTCCCTATCTCCCAGAGCCAGGGTCACAGTGGGCGAGGTGGCGGGGCTGTTGAGTCACCAAGGCGGCAGGGATGGAGGTGAGGGGACAGAGTGGGCCCGGCACAGGTGTGGGTGGTAGAGCAAGGGTCTCTGGCAGCAGAAAGGGTCCCTTCAGCCTTTGCTCTCCTTGCAGCTCCCTGTGGTTTCCCTGCTCACCCCCATCTTGGGGACACCAGGTCTATGAGCACCCATTCCCCAGCCAGGCATTGGAGCGCCCCACTCACCCTCCCGCACTCCCTCCTGAGATGCCCTTTTATATCCCCGAAGTTCGCACCCCCCAGGGCCACAGGACTCCCAGTCCCCACTTCAGATACTTACTGAAGCAGCTGTGGCCCCCAGGCTGCCTCTTGCCAGCTGTCTGTCTGTCTGTCGGTCTGTCTTTGAGGGCTGAGAAGGCTCCAGGAAGCCAGCTTCCTCCCTCCGCCCCTCCTTGCTGCCACCCACGCACACCCCAGCTGCATTCTGCCCTCCTGTGCCTGCTGCCGCTGCCACCAGGGGTCGGCTGCCTCCCGCCTGTGCCCTTCTGGGGCCCAAGGCCCTGTTCCCTGGGAATGGGTGAGGGGCCAGGCCTTCCCGACCATCCTGCTTTCCCCAGCTTCCAGACCCTCTCCCCTCCTGCTGTGTTTCTCCTCTGGGTCTTTGTCACATCCAGCCACTGCCTACTTGCTGGGCACAGCTCGCCTGACCCCCAGCTCTGTGCTGTCCCACAAAGAACCCAAGGCTCTCCTGCTCAACCTGACCTTGGCTGGAGGCTTATTTCTGCTTCTCTGCTTCTGCCTCACAGTCCTCTCCCTCAAAGCCCTTGCTGCTTCAAGCCTTGGGAATTCATGGCCAAGCACAGACCACATCTTCCCAGAGCAGATGTGGCACAGACTCGGGGTGGGGAAAAAGAGGAGGCAAGAATCCATGCCTCACAATGTGAAGGAAAGGCCTGGGGCCAGGCCAAAAAGGTCGTCTCCACGCCCTGTGCCACGGCCCAGCTCTCCACAGCCCGCGGCCTGAGTGTAGGCCAGCCCAGCAGGAAACAGATAGCAGAGTCCACTTGTGGGAGGGAGTCTGAGGGGCTTCCCCTGGGCCCCCAGCCCCCTGCAGGGCTCCTCCCAGAACCCTGACATCTACTTAGAAGACTTACAGACAGTGGACAGTCTCTGGCCCTCACACCAGGGGACTCCCATGTCCTCTTCGCTGCTGGGGTGCCTGGATGCCTGGGACCTGAAGGGTGGCCCCCAAATCCAAGACTCCTCTGCCCACTGCCCCTGCCTGGCCTTGGCAGGCTCCTTGCAGGCCAGCAGCCCAGCCAGTTCATGCTTGCTGCAGGCCTCCTTTTACCTTGTAACATTTCAAACGCCCTTCCCTTCCCGGCCCCCAACACGCGCAATCCACGTCCTCTTTCTTCCTCCCACTTCCCTGATTCAGCTGTCAAACGGTGACAGCAAAAAAGAAATGAGGTACCCTAGGCACAGGGGGTAGGCATGCCGGAGGGGGTGGTCGGGAGGGGGCTAGCCTTCTGCTGGCCCCTTGGGGAGGAGGGTTGAGATGAAGAACAAGAACGGCTCTCAGAGGCTCAGAAGGCCTCCCAGCACCCGCCCTTGCTCTGGGCAGTGGGGACAGGGGCTGGCTCTTTTTTGAGCCCCTCCATGGCCAGCTGATCCTGGCGCCTCCTTCCCTGCAGCCTGTGCTCCTCTCCAGAGTGGGTGGGTTTCCCCGAGGAGGAGGCCAATTAGGGCTGGGAAATGGGTTGGCTCCTGTGCTCAGGAGAGAGTGGAGGGGAGCAGGAACCTGGGAATCCCTAACATGCTTGTGGGCAGTGACCCGGAGACTGGCCTCTGCCTCACCGCCCCAACACCAGTCAGTGTTTCCACTGGTGGGTAGTGGGGGCCCTGGGGACACAGGAGGGGGCAGGTGGGGGTTGGAAAGAGGGCCCGGCTCTGGGCCTATGCTGATTGTTATCAAGAACAGGAAGCTAGGACACCACAGGGGTGGGAGGAGGAAGCGGCAAAGCCCTCCCCACACAGGTCTGCCTGGTCCCCCCAAGTTTTCAGGGTCTGAGCCCTGTTGGCTGTGAGCCTACCCTTTGCCCCCACAGACCGAGGCCTAGGGCTGTACAGTTGGAAGCTGAGCTTCACAGCAAGGAAGCTGGGAGCCAGGAGGTGGGGAAGATAGTTGGGGGCAGGTGGGGGTAGTGGCTGAGCATGAGGCAAGACCTCTCAAGGATCCCCCGTTCCCTCTGGCTGGGTGTGGGGTAGAGGGGACAGTCACTCCTTGGCTCCTGCCCACTCCTTCTTCTCCTGTGCTTAGAGATGCCTGGACGTCCATGGAGGTGTGTGGCCAGAGCTCATGCGGGCTGAGGGTGCCGACTGCAACCTCAGATGGGACAAAACATGCGTCGTCGCCCTGCACCACTCCCTCCCCAGCCTGGCCTGGTGACTTGGGATGCCCCTTTCTGCCCTCTCTGGAGTGGATTCCGTCCCATCTGGGCTGCTGGGAGGCTCCTGGGAGTGACTCCCTCTCCCCTCCAGAACCTTCCCACCCGTGGTCCCAGCAGCTGTCAAACTTCCATCACTCGAATTGATTTGTGTTCCTGGGTTGAGATTTAGGTTCTAGCCACCCTCGACTCCAGAGAAAGTATAGTAATTGTTGGAAATCAGAAAGATCTGTGCATAATGAGTCTAAACGTAGCTTATTAACTGTGTGACTTTGGGCAAATTGCTGAGTCTCAGTCTCCTTCTCAGCTTCCTCCCTCCACTGGGGGATGATCATAGCACCTTCCTTGTCAGCCCATGGAGTGATTTGCTCCCGGAGGAGAGGTTGGGAGTCAGTAGCCAGAGGAGCGAGGAGCTGGGAGGAGCTGGCTGGGGAAGTGGGCCTGGGAGCAGCACAGGGTGAGGAGGTCACGGCTGCCGGCTCTCACCTCTCGCCAGCCTCCCTCTTCCTCCTCATTGCTGACTTTCTCCCCGAAGCAGGGCTGCTGGGGCGCTTCCACCAGAGCACTGAGGAAGTTCAGGAAGGAGTCACTCCCAGGGGTCTCCCAGCATCCTGGGTGGGACAGAGTCCACACCAGGGAGGACAGAGAGGGGTGTCCCAAGCCACCAGGCCAGTCTGGGGAGGGACTGATGCAGGGCATGACGCATCCTGAGAGTCAGCCTTGTCCCATCTGAGGCTGTGGTGGGTGCCCTCAGCCCTCCCGAGCTCTGGCCACACACGTCTTGACTCTCTCGTTTCCCCCTCTAGTGATTCCCAGTTCCAGGGCTATGAGCTGCAGCTCCCTGCCCCAAGTGTCAGAAGTCCCCCGCCCAGGGGAAAGGCGGCCATTACATCTAGAATTCTCAGAAGTCTTTGCTCCTTGCCAGCCCCTAGGGAGTAGGGAACTCCTTGCTGGGGTGCAGTTGGCTCCCAGAGGCAAAGGCTGCCACCCTCTAATTATCCAAGAGGAGGATCCTGGGGAGAGAGTCAGCTGCTGGGGGCCAGGACTCCTGGGTCCTGCACACTCCACCTGCTCTGCCCCCTTCCTAGCTGCCCGCCTCGGCTCCTCTCTGGAGAAGCACTAGGATCCTGGGCGGCTGCTCCTCCATCCTTCTCGCCCCCAAAATCCTAGGCCAGCCTGAGCCGGCTTGTTCTGCCCCAACTTTACAGGCCCAGGCTTGTTCCTGTTTGTGTGGGGGAGACAGAAACACCGAGAACTGGATCTGGGAGGCCTCATCCCGGAGGAAGCAGGGAGACAGCAGGGGAGACAGGGTGAGTGGGGCAGGGAAGTGGTGTTAGGGGCATGGGATGGGTCCGGGCTGACCAGAGTGACAACTGCACCCCTGTCTCAAAGCTGCACCCCTGTGCCGGGCCAGCTAGGACCTCCTGCTACCTTTTGGGTGAAGGGGAACATCCCATACCCCTTACCCCTGGCTGGGAGGACCAGCAATCCAGCCCTACTCGGCACTGGGCCATCTTGCCAGGAGGTCCAGGAAAGTACCTGGTTCTTTGCCTGTTGCTGGAACTCAGGACCCTGGCAGGAAGGTTTTAGGGTAGAAGAGTCCCTCCCTCTCTCCCAAGCCCAGAGCCAGCCAAATGGACATCTATTCTACAATGTGGCCTTTTCTTCCCAGGGGCTCCCGTCTCCCTCCCGCTCTGTGTTGTCCCTGGACACCCACTCGTGCATCCATCAAGACAGATGTGTACACCCTCATGGCCCACATTTGCACAAATGCACATGCACAGTGTCAATCCACACGTGACCAGCCCCTCCCCTGCTCTCCCATGACCTGGTCAGGGGGAACTAGGCCTTCCCCAACTCCCTGGCCACCTTCCCCATAGTATAGGCAGCAGGGGGAGTGGGCGGCCTGGCTGTCCTGAGCCACCCCACCCCTCTGCTGCCCGGTGATTATCTTCCTCCAGTGTGGGGGCTGCCCAAGGCCTGGCTTCAGGCTGTGGGAGAGCAGGGAGGGGCCAGAAGAGCGCTGCCTGGGACAGCTGTAGGCCAGGCCAGTTCACATTTGGGACCCAGGACTACTGGACCTGCCCCTTGCCCTCTCCTCTGCCTCCTGGCTGGCTGTCTCCAGAAGGAATCAGTAAGGTGCCCTGAGACCTCAGGGTAGTGGGGGGAACCCCAGGGGTTCTCTAGGGAGAGGATGTGGGTTTGTCTGTGGGGGTGGTTGCTGGGGAGGAGATACAGCCCTTGCGGTACCTTTTCTTTTGCTGAATGGAGAGGTTTGGGCTGGGGAGGCTGCTGCTTATTTATTTTATTTTGTTTTTTTGAGATGGAGCCTCACTCTGTCACCAGGCTGGAGTGCAGTGGCGCCATCTCAGCTCGCTGCAACCTCCAACTCCGTGGTTCTAGTGATTCTCCTGCCTCTCGAGTAGCTGGGATTACAGGCACGCACCGCCTCGCCCAGCTAATTTTTGTATTTTTAGCAGAGACGGGGTTTCACCATTTGGCCAGGATGGTCTTGATCTCCTGACCTCGTGATCTGCCCACCTCAGCCTCCCAAAGTGCTGGGATTACAGGCATGAGCCACCGTGCCCAGCTGGCTGCTGCTTATTTATCAGAACCTCTAGGGGCCCTGTCTCCCGGTCCCCTAGGCTGCGCTGGGGACTGGTGGCTGTGCCTCTTAAGGCCAGGTGCCTCCTCAAGGCTCTGTCCAAAGGACTAGCTATGGAGTCTGTGCTGGGCCCCGCAGGCCTCTTTTTTGTGGGGACTCTTGGGCAGGTTCTGACATACCCTGCATTTACCTAGACCTGTGTCCTGTGCGTCTTTTCTCCTTAGGTTCCGAATTAGGGCGCCTCCACCCCGCCTCTCCCCTTTTTGGTTGCTGATCAAGGCTACCAGAAAGAACAAAGTGAGATGTCCGCAAGTGAAGTGGGATGAGGATGGGATGAGAAGGTACGTCGTTTCCCCCACCTCTTGGTCACACTGGGACCTGGGACCGCTTCCCTTTCACATCAGTTTCCCTGGTTGCAACCTTCCCCCGCCCCCCGCCCCCGCCTTTCAAAAGAGCACATATGCGCAGGCGCACACACAGCCTGGAAAATCTCCTGAGTCTGCAGTGCTGAGTTTCCAGGCCCCCATCCAGAGGCGGGGTGGGCGGCTCTGAGGTTTGGGGCTGGGTGGAGCGGGGGAGGGGCAAGCAGCCCCTGGCTGTGGCCTGAGCAGGCAGCCGGGCTGAGCTGGGGCAGGCTTGTCCTTCCTGCTGGGGTAGGCCCAGGAGAA